CCATTATTTTTATTAACTTTTTAAGAGTGAAGTCATTTAGACAAATCAAGATTTTATCAGCTGCTTTGCTTTTTTTTTTTTTTTTACTTTTTCAACATGGATCCAGCTAAGCCAAATTCTCCCATCATTACTAGATCATGGCTCTGCCAAGTTTGTGGTGTTTTCTCATACTTCTAGCCTAATAGCTCCTTTCTGGGTGGTCTACAGTATATTCCTGTGATGATATTGGTTCCGTTTCTCCACTCTTGATCCTTACTCAAGTTCTTTCACCACATGTTTCTCCCTACAAATTTTTTAATTTCTTCATATGAGCATATCTTCTTCATGTAAAATACTACATCACTGCCCCTTTTATCAATTCTGTTCCTTTTGAATAAATGTCATTCTTCCATACTCATATTTCAGTCCTGTCATATTCCAGTCCTTCCAAGTCTGCTCAAATTTGCCTAGTATCTCTAGTTTACCCTGTTTATTACTCATCTTTTGTGTATTAGCATAAAGGCAATTGAGGCCATGGAGTTTTTAAAAAAGGAGGAAAAAGCATAATTGATCCAAACATTGAAAAAGTCTGAAATATGTGCTGTAGTAATACTTGTGGACCTCCCAAAGGGGTGGATTGGGAGTATCTTCTTATCTCTTCTTTTGATAACATTTGTTTTTCATAACTTTGCAGTACTCACTTCCATTTACGTTGTTGTAGTCATCATTGTGTTAGTAAATGCTCTGGCCATGATACTTGGTTTGGCAAATATGTGGGCAGTTTAAAGCTCTCTTGATCAGATATGAAAGACTTCCAAGTAAATATATTTCATGGCTCCTCATAAGATACATTCCATCCAGAGCCAAAGTCCACCATTCTAATACCTTAAATCATGGTTTAGAAATCTATATCTTATTCTCTTATTCAGCTGTTCACTTCCTAGATCTTACCTACTCACAGCTCACAGTAGTAATGAAAACTCCTTGCACCCCCAAGGACTTCAGTGTGTTCCTTAGAATTTCATAGTTATCAGTGCTTTCTAGGTTGCTTTTAGCAGGATCATTTATCCCCACATGAAGCACTTCGAGTAGGAAGGGTCATCAGATTGATAAACCCTGGGAGGTTCTCAGTTGTCCAGGGTACATGCCTTGGAGAGATAACAGACTTCTTCACTGTTAAAAATATCAGGCTGATGAGTAGCTAACTCTCTTTTTCCCCTGATTCTTCTAGCTATTAACTCTGTGATCTTTCTCCTAATGGCATCTGTGGTTCCACATCATCTTTTAATGGAACATAAGAAGCTCCTTCTTTCTGGGAGTTCCCAGCTTTCTCTTTTGCTGCAGGAATAGCATTGTGTTTATTATTTGGCCCCAGATGTTCAATAGTCATTCTTCCCTTCCTTCTCTTGTGTCACATACTTTGAAACTCCAGCCTCTTGATGGCTTCCCTCTTTATTTTTTTTTTTTTTTTTTTTGGTAAGGCAGTTGGGGTTAAGTGACTTGCCCAGAGTCACATAGCTAGTGTTATGTGTCTGAGGCCAGATTTGAACTCAGGTCCTCCTAAATCCAGGGTCAGTCCTCTATCCACTGTGCCACCTAGCTGCCCCGCTTCCCTCTTCCCGCTTCCCAAGCTTTTCTTTCTTTCTTTTTTATTTTCTCCCAGAGAAGACTTTAATTCCTTGATAACCTGAAGGTCAAGGATTTGTTCCTTTAGCCTTCTATCTCCATTAAAACAGAAACAAACTTGTATCCCAGTTCCTTGGTAGTGGTACAAATGCTTTTGCACAGGCTGTTGTCTATGTGTGAAAGGCATTGCCTTCTTGCCTCTCCCTCTTAGTACTTATAAAGGGATGGGAACTGGACCTTCGATTTTATTGTTTGGGGAGCTTTCTGATGAGGAAACTCACCACCAGTATAGTTGGGCACCTTCTTAGTCCAGGAATGTTTCCTAGGGCACTGAATGTTAAATTAATTGATCATAGAGCTAATATGTGTCAGAAGTGGAACTTGAACCTAGGGTCTTCTTAGCTTGGAGGCCAGCTTTCTATCCATTGTATTTGTTGGTTGGTTTTGACATTTTTGCTGGCAGCTTTTAGCTAAGCCTGATTTGATCGGCAGTTAGCATATTCCTGCCAAGTGTTTTTTTTTTTCCACCCTTCCCTTTTATTTATTTGTTTTTTAAAATTTATTTTTAGTGTTCAGCGTTCACTTCCATAAGATTTTGAGTTCTAAATTTTCTCCCCTTCCCTAAGATGGTGTTCATTCTGACACAGATTATACATATACATGTTAAAACATATTTTCGTGTTAGTCATGTTGTAAGGAAGAATTAGAACCAATGGGAGAAACTACAAGAAAGAAGAAACCAAAAAAAAAAAAAGAGAGAGAGGAAATAGTGTGCTTCGATTTGCATTCAGACTCCATAGTTCTTTTTCTGGATGTGGATAGCATTTTCCATCATGAGTCTTTTGGAGTTGTGTTAGATCCTTGCATTGCTGAGAAGAGCTAAATCTATCAGAGTCATCACACAGTGTTGCAATGTTCTCCTGATTCTTCTCATTTCACTTAGCGTCCGTTCGTGTAAGTGTTTCCAGGTTTTTCTGAAATCTGCCTGCTCATCATTTCTTATGGAACAATAGTATTACATTATATTCATATACCACAACTTGTTCAGTCATTTCCTCAATTGATGGTTATCACTTCAATTTCCATTTCTTGGCCACCACAAAAAAAGCTGCTGTAAATATTTTTGTACATGTGGGTCCTTTTCCCATTTTTATGATCTCTTTGGGATACAGAACTGGAAGTGGTATTGTTGGGTCAAAGGTATGCACAGTTTGATAGCCCTTTGGGCATAATTACAAATTACTTTCCAGAATGGTTGAATCAATTCACAACTCCACCAACAATGCATGAATCAGAAGCAACTCTCAGATATCCTCAAGGGATTTTATTACTAGTAATGCTGTATCTAAATCTTAATCACCCTCTGCCACCCCCACTTTCTTTTCTTCATTTCTAGTTCTTCTGATGCTCAGATATATCCTTATGCTTCTCTGGATGCTTTGCTTTCTAATCCCCCTTAGTAAGGATTCTTAACCCTTTTTGTGTCATGGACCCCTTTGGCAGTCTGGTGAAGCCTATAAACCCCCTTCCTATAATGGTATTTTAAATGCATAAGAAAGTTCATGAACTTTAGGTTAAGAAACCTTGCCTTAAAGTGTGTGGAGAAAGAGTTTTCAAACCCGTGGTGTATCCTTCCTCTTTATACCTACAGGCATTCCACTGTGCAGAACCCCTATCCCGGCAGGTGGCATGTGTACCCCTGTTTGGCTCCCTGACAGCCTATGAAGTATACTATGGACTAGAGGAAGAGGATGTACCCTCTGAACACAAGGTGAGGTGGGAATTCTGAATGGCTAACAGAAGCAGATCCCTTGATTCTTAGGAAGAAACTTGTATTTTAAACCCTTGACCATAAACAGTTGTAAAGTCTCTGGCTTTTAGAAATAACTAGAAATGGGGCTAGACCCTCACTTAACATTTCTGACCCCAGATTTAATATTTCTTTTTTCACCAGCTAGAGGTGGCTGCAGCCCGGCCCCTGGGGGAAGTGACTGTTCCTGGGTCACTGTTGCTTCAGCACCTGCTTCACTTCTCAACCCTGGGCCCTGTGCTTCGAAGTCTGACTTCTATGGAAGGACCACAGCTTCTGGCCCTGGCCCAAAGCCCTGCTGGTTCCCACGTCCTGGATGCTGTGCTGACTAGCTCTACTGTGACCAGAAAACAACGTCGCAAAATCTTACGGCCTCTCAAAGTTAGTCTTTCTGCATCCTTCCTTCATTACTTTCCTATTCCAAACTTCCGGTTTTTCAAATAAGATGCTCTTCCAATTACCTGGCTGTTTTGACTGAAACCTTTGACCACTTTCTGTACCAGAGGACAAACCATATTGGGGACCACTGTTTCTCTCCCATGCCCTCTTTACCTTCTTCACCTGAGCTGTCCTTGAGACCTGTTTCTCCTGTTTTTCCCTCCCTAGGGACACTATGTGGCTCTGGCCTGTAGCCGTCATGGCAGTCGAGTGCTGGATGCCATCTGGAATGAAGCAACTTTGGGGACCCGGAAGGAGATTGCTGCTGAATTGGGTAAATACCTGAGCTTCTCCTTGACCTTCCTTTTTCTTGTTCAAGTCATCTGGGCACCTGTGGGAATGGGATTAAACTCTGGGTAACAAGGGTAGTCTGGATTTGAGGTCTGCAAACTTGCTATTTGCAGCCCAAGTTTCTCATCTTCTGGGTTTCAGGGGTAGTGAAATGTCAGCTTCATTCTAGGACCTGGGTCAGGGTTAAAAGAAGAGAAAGGAAGCCTTATCCTAGGCAAGGTCTTTACTTCAGGCTTGGGAACCTAGCTGCCTGGTGATTGTGATGTTGGAAGTGGTTCTCTTCACAGGGGAACAGAACCAGGAGCTGATGAGAGATCCCTTTGGCCATCATGTGGCCCGAAATGTAGCACTGGGCACTTTCCTGAAGCGACGAGGAGACTGGGAACAGCAGCAAGGAGCAGTGGCCAAGCGGAGAAAAGCCCTGAGCACCATACTTGGAGACTGAGGTCTTTGGACCTGGGGATGGAGCAGTGCTGGGAGGGGGAACTGGCTTAATTTGACTGAGACATTCTAATAATAAATATTTTTGTATTTTTATTTGAAATGAGATATGTAATTTTTTTTTCCTTCCCCCCGAGGGTGGGGGAAGTGGCAGCATTAAAAGGAAAAGGGGGATGGAGTCCTTTGGGGACATACAGGGAGGACTCCTCATCAGGTCCAGGGATGTTCAGGCATAGGGAGAAGAGTTGGTAGGGGATTTAGAATATAGCCCCTTCATAAGTGGTGGCTAGCTGGGGAATGATGGGTGTGGCGCCTTCCTAGGAAACAGAGTTGAATAGAGAATATTAGGTATGAATGTTAGTGGAGAGTTTGTCCATTTTAGCAGTTAGGTGCAAATAAGGAGACCCATGTCTTCTCTGTTCCATGCTAAATCCATCTTTAGATTGAGGATGGGGCAGAGTACTTAGTTGGCATGGAGCTGGTGTCGATGCTGCCACTGCTCGGCACCTTCCACTACGTGGCGAAGGGTGGATGCAACACCTAGTAGCATGTTTCCCAGCCCATGCAGGATCGTGGAAGTCCACCGAAGGAGCTCTCTAAATAGAGAAGTCAAAGGGAAAGAAGTCAGAGGGGTGGGGGACAGGGGTGGTGGTGCCACTAGCCAGTCTTAGGGGTGAGGAGGATCTAGAGTGTTGTTCACTGACCTGAGCACCTTCTTGGGACCAAGTCCTTGAAAATCGCAGCTCATGGAGTACAGCCCATAGAACGTGGCCTTGATGTTGAGGCTGCCGAAGAGGTCCCGGGGGTTCTGTTTATACACATCAAATGTGATGCTGGCAATGTCTTTGCTGTGCTTTGGCTTCTCCCGGCCCAGGCCGTATGAGAGCATCCCACTCTAGAAGGATGCCATTGTGATCAACAGAACCTCCTGACATACCACCCCAAATCCCAACAAACTGCCCTCCGCTAGATGTACAATTCCTTGAACTTCCACATGGGGGCCCTTTCAGATTGTCTAGTTCCCCACAACTCTCCCTCACCTTCCCGCCAATACACGAATTGCTGAACTTCCCTATCCACCTCTCCATCTTTAGAGCATTCCCCTGAGAAGCAGAGAGAGTAGCAGATAGTAGGCTCTCCCGCTGGGGACAGGAGGGCCAGGCAAGGTGGTAGGATTGTAGGAGTGACTGCATGTGTCAGGTGATGCAACATCCTTGTGTGGAGCACTCACTCTGACAGGGCTCCAGTTCTGTCCCTTCTCCAGGACCATCAGGCTTGTATCATCCTCCAGCATCTGGAAGAATTCTTCACTCTCCACACTTGTCCCATCCTCCTCTAGCACCAATGTTAGCACACCACTCAGCAGCAAGGTCTCAAGTGCCTACCCAGTAAGGAAGTAGGGAAGAAGATACTGTCAGGAACTCCTCTCTTCAACATCCTTTGAGATCTATTGGCTAGTCTCTTTCCCCATCCTGAATCCCATCCAGCCTTAAAAACTGCTATTGCTTTTTCTCTACCTCTACCTTTTTCTGTGCTATTCCTTTCTTTGGCTTCTGTTTCCAGCTGTCATCCCCAGCCACCCTGAGGACACACCCTACCTGGAGCTCCCTCCTTTACTTCTGTGTGCTCTTCTGTGGTTCTTTCTACCTCTCCCCTGCAAAGGTCTTCCAAGAAGTACCCTGGAATCAAGTGTTTCTGTTTTCTCTTACCAGCAAGAGCATGTGCATTTCCTAGCTTTCCCTGCTTTTAACAGTCACTGCCTCTGACATTTACTCTCCTATCACCCCCCATCCCCACTGTTAGCTTGCAGTCTGATGGTACCAAGAGATGGTCAATCCCTTTAGAGCGGAGTCAAATATGAAATCTGCTGGTTACAACACGCTCAAATGCTGTCCAAACCAGATTAAAATGTCACTGGGAAACAGTTAACAAAATAATACAATAGAACATAGATAATGAGGTTTTCTAAGTCAATAGGTGGACAGCAGGGATCCTTATTATTTATGAATGATTTAGTGACCCGTTTTTTATTTGAGTTTGACACCATTGCTCTAGAAGTGACCTTGTCTGTTTCCCTGCTGCTGAGCATGATAAAGGCCTCGGACTCTTGCTAACTCTATGACCCTGGTCAAGTCACTTAACCCTGTTTGCTTTAGTTCCCTACCTGTAAAATGAGCTGGAGAAGGACAAGTGGACAAGCCACTCTGGTATCTTTGCCAAGAAAATCCCAAATGGGGTCACAAAGACTTGGACACAACTGAACAACAGCAGGCATGATAGTCCCTAATTCAGTTTGAAGGAGCAACATAGCACAGTGGAAGAGCGGGGTTCAAGTTTAGACTCTGCTCCTTAATATCTACATGACTTTAGACGAGGCCTTTCTGATCTGTCTCTTCATCTATAAAATATAGTCTCTGATGTCTCTTTCCGCTCTAAATCTATTCATGGCAATAGTGTCTCTTGCTTTAGGTTTTTCTTTGCAACCTGGCTTCCAACCTTGTTACTCAACTGAAACCTCTCTCTCCAAAGTCACTGAAGTTCTCTTAATTGCCAAATCTGATGGCCTATTCAACTTTCCTGACCTCTTTGCAGCATTTGATACTGTTAAGCACCCTTTCCTCCTAGATACTTTTGCTGGGTTTTGGTGACTCCTGGTTCTCCTTTTTTGACTCATCATCAATCTCCTAATTGTGGCTTATACCCCAAGGTTTTGTCCTGGTTGCACTCTCTGTCTCCGTCTGTCTGTCTCTCTCTCTTTCTCCCCTCTTCCCTTACTCTCCTCTTTCTTTTCTCTCTCTTTTCTTCTCTCTCCTCTTTCTTCTCTCTCTCACCTCATTAGGTCCCATAAGTTTAATTATCTGTGCAAATGATTTGACAATTGCCATTTCAAATGGATGTCCCATAGACATTTCAAACTCAACACAGAACTCTATCTTTCTTCCACTCCACCCCACAGACTTACCTCTCTTACCAAATTTTCCTATTTCTATTAAGTACACCACCAGTCTTGTAACCTTGGCGTCATCCTTGACTCATTCTCCCTCACCCTACATATTCAAGCAGCTCCTTATTTCTACCTCAACACTTCTTGTGTCCATCTCCTCACTCCTTATACCTTAGTTTAGGCCTACATCACCTCTCTGCTGGACTACTGTAATAGACTTTTTTTTTTGTGAGGCAATTGGGGTTAAGTGCCTTGCCCAGAGTCACACAGTTACTGAGTGTTATGTGTCTGAGACTGGATTTGAACTCAGGTCCTCCTGACTCCAGGGCCAGTGCTCTATCCACTGTGCCACCTAGCTGCCCCTGTAATAGACTCCTAATTGACCTCATTGCCTGAAGTCTCTCCTTGCTCCAATCCATCTTCCACGCAGATGACAAAAGTGATTTTCTTTAAGTACAGATCAGACTATGTTACTCCCCTACTCAATAAACTTCAGCGGCTTCTAGGATAAAATATAAACTCTTTCACTTGACTATAAACTCCACACCAAAAGGTTGGGGTTGAACTATCTCACCTTTCAGCTCTTATAATAGCTGAAATGAGGTAGCCACCTAGGGTATAACACAAAGGGAGGGGAAATGAGATAATACTTGTAAAATCCTTTACAAGTGGGTCCCAGCCTATTTTTTCAGCCTCACTATACATTATTTCCCTTCCTATTCTTAATCGTCCGGCCAAAGTGGATTTCTCTTAGTACCTCACACAGTATGGAACAACCTCAGGTTGCTGTGCCTTTGCTGGTCATCTTCCATGCCTGCAATGCAACGCCTCTTCACCTTCACTTCAAGACTCAGTTCAAGCAGCAATTTCTATCTCCATGAAGACTTTCCTGATCCCCCCAACTGCTAGTACCTTCCCTAACGTGTATTAACTCTCATGTTTATTGAGTACTTATTCTGTATTCTTATATATGTAAATATTGTCTCTTCCCTCTCTGCCTCCCTCCCCCAATAGAATATCAGCATCATTTGGCACATAGTTGCTTAATAAATGTTTATTGGCTATTTGATTGATTTTTAAACTTAAGGTAAGAAGAGCCTACACTCTCTCTCCTGCCAGTGTTTCATACCCCATCACTTTCACACTGTCTTTTAAAAATCTTTTTAAATTCTACTTTTATTAATGTATTTTTTCTACTTTTAGCTTTATTGATGTTTTGTTTTTGCATTACATATAATTAAAGATTACTCCTGATTTGTGGTAAAACTAATAATATAATGAAAGTTGAAAGTTCATGCAACTAAAAATCCAAACATAAATCTGTCTTCTCTCCCTTTTACTTCCCACCCCATTGGGTGAAAAAAAAAAGCAAATTTCTTGTAACAAATATACATACCAAGCAGAACAAACTCCCAGTGGCTGTACGTAAAATGTCTATGTCTCATTCTGCACCCTTAATTCATCCTATCTCTGTAATGGATAGTATATTTGTATATCTGAGTCCTTTCTACTGTACTCTTTCATGTTCTCACCATTCTTTGGCTAAAGGACCCAGATTTATGGATGAGAAGACAGGTGTTCAGGCCCCACTCACTTTGTCAAGCAATTCTTGGCGGGTGACAGCTGTCAGACCTTTTCGAGTGGACCGTTTATGGTCACAGACACGGAAAGGACGCTGGGGTGGAGGACCTGAAGTCCAGACCCGACGACCAAACTCAGAACCAACACTGGATACTGACCTGGGAGTCAGAGGAAAAATGTCAGAAGTGATCAATACAGGGCATAGGGAGAAGGGCCACAAGTATTGGGAGAAAACAGGTTGGAGGTGAGGGGAAAGTGGGAGAGAGAGTTTTGAGACAGTCTTACAAAAGAAAAGAAAAGGTGAAAATATCATAGTGGGTAGATGAACAACTTGAGGGAGTAGGTGAGGGGGAGAGCATAACCACTATAGAAATATGAGGTGGGAAGAGGTGGTGCTGGGAGGGAGAGACTTTTCAGTATGGCATAGATGGGATAGTCTGGATGGACTAATTGGGAGCATAGAAGGGGGAATATTTTTGTCTAGACCATAGTCCAGCCTATAGCCCATATTTTCTTTACCTGATGTTGGGGGGTGGGTGGGAGAAGAGAGGGGATAATAGGAAAGGACTTACCTGAGCAGGGAAGTAGGGTTCAAGGCTGAGATATAGTCCTTGGCCTTGATGTATTCCATGATCAGATGAGGTGGTGGTAGAACTACTCTCTCCTACAGTTTTCTCTCGGAGATTCCTCCCTTGGATGTCTGATTCAGAATCGGGGCTTGGTCTGCCTCTCAGTAGAGTTGTTGATTTCTGTGACCTGCCCTGGGGTTTAAGCAGCAGAAGAGGTTGTGGGGAATGAGTCAGGGTCGGACTCTGGCCCCCCTTGCCTGGATAGGAAGTAGGTCAAAGTCCAAGAGGGCTGGGACTTGGGGGGAAGAGAAAAAGGGAGGGGCCTGGGGAGAGTTGGGACCTTGATGTTTTCGAGCCAAAAATGGGAGGGAGAGGCAATTGGGAAAAGGGAACAGTGATTTGGTGCTTATCTATCTATTTCTTTGGAGGTCATTTCTAGTGACATTTTCTGCTGGGCCCACAACCTACTGTTCCCCACTAATGGCCCTCTGTTTGTTGTAGGGTTTGCTTCCACCTGCTGGAAAAGTTAAAAACTACAATTTTCAAGGAAAAGTGGGATGGGGAAATGAGGTCTGCAATTTGAGAAGTTTACAGACTTGGGCAATATAAGGGATTTGTTGTTAAGTTTTATTTCAGTCGTGTCCAACCTCATTTGGGGTTTTCTGGGCAAAGATACCTGACTGGTTTCCCATTTCCTCCTCCAGCTCATTTTGCAGATGAAGAAACTGAAGCAATCATGGTTAAGTGACTCGTCTAGGGTCACACAGCTAGTAAGTATCTGAAGTCACATTTGAACTCAGGAAGATGAGTCTTCCTGACTCCAGGCCCAACACTATATCCACTTTGCCACGTAGCTGCCCTTAACATAAATGATAGGCGATAGGTATCTAATGGGAATAGAAAGGTTTGTCACTTTCTGGAGAGCCAATTGAAGGTAAAAGCCTGAGTGTTTTTAGGAAAGTCAGAACACCAAGACTCCTGGGTTGTGTAATATCAGCCTGTCTATGAGAGTACTTACTATCTGCTAAGGCTGCTGGGGATATAAAGAAAGGCAAAACCAATTCGTGCCTTCAGGAAGCTCACATTCTAATGAGGGAGACAATATGCAAACAATTATGTGCAAATAATGTATGTACAGGATATATTAGAGGTAACCTCAGAGGGAAAAACCTGAGACAGCTAGGTGACACAGTGGATAGAGTGCAGGACCGGGAGTCAGGAAGACTCATCTTCCTGACTTCAAATCTGGCCTCAAACACTTACTAGCTGTGTGACCCTGGGCAAGTCACTTAATCTTGTTTGCCTCAGTTTCCTCATCTGTAACATGATCTGAAGGAGGAAATGGCCAACTGATCTGGAATGTTTGCTGAGAAAACCCCAAATGAAAAGTCAGACATGACACAAAAACAACAGAGGGAAAATACTGGGGGGTGGAGGGTGTTGAGAGAGAAGAAGAAAGAGAAGTTTTCTTGGAGAATGTGGGATTTGAACTGAATCTTAAAGGCAGCCAGGGAAGCCAGGAGGTGGAAAGGAGAGGGATCAAACCAGGCTTGGGTAATTCTCACTAAAATCTGTCCTCAGGCTCTGAGCTTCCTCCCTTTTACTTCCAAACTTCCTCATGTAAATGTGTACTTGGATTAGGCATTAAGAGATCTGGATTCAAATCCTAGCTACTCTGCTTACCACATATGACCTTGGCCAACTCACTTAATTTTGGGGGGGGCCTTGTTTCCTCATTTAGAACATGAGGGTGTTGCATTAGTTAAATCTTATGACCTGAGAGAGACCTAGGAATTCTCTATCCATTTCCTCTAGATACTACCACATAGGCCCTTGATAAATGTTGAATTGAATCTCTAGTCTTAAATTTTTTAACATAAATGCCAAACTAGACTGCTCACTGTCACTTCTATTTGCTCACTATCCCATTCCAGGTATGCTGTCCCCCTCCTCTCCACTTTATCTGAATCCTACCCACTCTTCAAAGTTTAATTCAAGGACTACCTTCTCAAAGCCCTGCCCATTCAGGATGACACGTGAGAATTAGGTCTGTTATTATTTGTTGACATGTGTATGTCTTGTCTCACATAGATTTTTAAACTCCTTGAGGCCAGGAACCGTGTTTCATACCCTTTTAAAATATCTTTCACAGACTATAACACAAAGACTTGTACTTGGTAGACACCCAGTAAATGTTGGTTGAATTGAACTGAATTGCTTGATTTGACAAGAACCGGATCTGGAGAACTAGAGGCTGGGAGGCAGGTCACCGTCAGGGAACTGGAGAACAGTGGCATGGGACGACAGAAGGCCAAGATTAGCAGGCCACAGTAGAAGAATGGATTTGGATTCTCTTTTCTGGCTTTCTTCCCTCCCCCACTTCTCCTCACACTGAAGGGAGATGTAAAAACTAAGGAATGCACAGAGGTATGGATGGGGGCGGGGAGAGAAGAGGAGGCAGAAATCGGGTCGTTTGGGAGGCAGTGCGGAGGACGAGGAATGAGACACTCTATTCACACATCCCTGACCAAGGAACTTTATCGGCACCCCCTCAGTTCATACTGTTTCCTGGGGGAGGCGGAGCCCTCTTTTTCACGCCTGGACTCGCTGGAGTTCAGAGTAGGGAGGGGCAGCAGGATAGGCTCAGGGATGAGCTCCACCCGTACTTCCCCAAGTCCCACCTGTCCCAGCCCCAGCCCCGGAGAACCTGACCAGCCTAGTACGTGACCTGAGCAGTCCCCCTTGGTCACCTTTCGCTTTTTTCTGGGGTCATCTAGCTTCGCCCCCCAGCATTGCTCTTTCTGCCGGGTGAGTCCCAGCTCGCTCCCTCTTCCACTGCATAACTCCTCCCCACCTTCCCCAGCGGAGGGGGCTTGAATTTAGAGGGAGGGGCTCAGCAGAGGATTAGGGAAGGGGGCAAATCTTCTGTAACCCGGGAGTCTAGCTGGGCTTGTGGAAAGCACAAGACGCTTGGACTCTAAGAAGAGAGCATGAGTCTCTGTGCCCAAGCCTTGGTGGTGGGGTGAAAGGAAGGGCTAAGAACAGAACACTTGGGTTCTAGGAAAAGAAGTGAGAAAGAGTGAGAAGTGGGAAACGGCTGGAGGTATGGGCCGGACTGGTCCTAAGGGCTGAAGTCACCAAAGGAGATTTGAGGGTGGGAGACCCCTGAGTTCCAAGGCAGAAATGCCGCAAGGGTAGAGAAGGGTGACACCGTGGCAAGAAGAATAAGAGGGGAGATGTTTGTCCCAAATCCTGGCACTCCCGATCACTTCCACAGAGTCCCCATTTTTTCCACTCTACGTTTCCCCCCTCCTCCCAGGATGACGCTGTTCTGCCTCCGGCCCCCGGGCAATGAGACTCTGCTGAGCTCCTCAGCCTCGCGGGTCACCGGCACTGTGTTCTTGCTGCTGGCCGCTCTGCTGGGGCTGCCCGGCAACAGCTTCGTGGTGTGGAGCCTGGTGGGCTGGAGGCCAGTTCGGGGAAGACCCCTGGCGGCCACCCTGGTGCTGCATCTGGCCCTGGCCGACGGCGCGGTCCTGCTGCTCACCCCATTCTTCGTGGCTTTTCTGGCTGGCCGGGCTTGGCCTCTGGGCCCCGTGGGCTGCAAAGCCGTGTACTACGTGTGCGGGGTCAGTATGTACGCCAGTGTCATGCTCACCGCCCTGCTCAGCCTGCAGCGCTGCCTGGCCGTCACCCGTCCTTTCCTGGCTCCTACCCTGCGCAGCCCGGCGCTAGCCCGACGCCTGCTGCTTGGAGTCTGGTTAGCTGCCCTGCTCCTGGCGCTTCCCGCAGCCACCTATCGACATCTGTGGGGAGGACAAGTGTGCCAGCTGTGCCACTCCTCACCTGCTGAGGCCGCAGCCCACCTGGTCCTGGAAACCTTGACTGCTTTCGTTCTACCCTTCGGGTTGGTACTGGGCTGCTATGGAGTGACTCTGGCCCGGTTGCGGAGCGGGCGCTGGGGTGCCCGGAGGCAGGGCGTGAGAGCAGGCCGTCTAGTGAGCGCCATCGTGCTGGCTTTCGGCTTACTCTGGGCTCCCTACCACGCTGTCAACTTGCTGCAAGCAGCGGCCGCCTTGGCACCTGCCAGTGGGTCCCTAGCGCGGCTCGGAGGGGCAGGCCAGGCGGCTAGGGCCGGGGCCACAGCTTTGGCTTTCTTCAGCTCCAGCGTCAACCCCATTCTCTACGTCTTTGCTGCCGGGGACCTTTTGCCCCGAGCTGGACCCCGCTTCCTCACTCGAATCTTCGAGGGCTCCGGGGAGACACGAGGAGGAGGTCGTTCCCATGAGGGGACCATGGAACTACGAGCTACTAGGCGCCTGGGAGGGGCAGGGCAGGGACGAGGGAATGGGGACCCGGGCGGCGGGGTTCAGGAGGGCAGCTCAGATTGTAAAAGTTGAAGTCCTATGCCTCCTTTCCCATTATTTCTCCAGCCCTCTTCTCCTACCAGCTCCCTATACGGGTTTGAACATTTCTCCCCTAGAATCCAGGGTACTACCCCTCTTCTCCCGCCTGAACTTCTTACTGGCCTAGAGACTTGTGATGAGAAGGTTACTGTGCAATACCAAAGGTGGGATCTACCCCAGGCCCATTGAATTCAGGGAGCAGGATTTGTTGTGTGTGGCTTACTTTTATACATGTGCTCAGCTATGTTGACCAACAGTGCCAGAGATGTAGATTGTAAATACAATAGATAGCCATTTATATACCTTTCTGCACGTTATTTTTTTCCCCCAGCCAATACAAAAATGCTAGGATATTTTAAAGGTCTCCCCTCTTTTCTCCTTCTTCACATGTCAGGCTAGGGTTGGGCCATCTTAGTCTGGGAAATTCCCTCATAAGAGCTGGGAGTAGATAGCCCCCTAGGGAGCGACTCAAGTAGGTGCAAGATCATATAAATTATTTTTAGTAACAGAAAATTCTGCCCTCCAAGGTGGTACATAGAGTATTCTTTTTGCATTAAAACTGTTTTTTTAAATGAAGATCCAACCCTTTCTCCCTGCCTCCACTATTTCAAAAACAAGAAAAGCAAAATTCCTTATTACATAGGCATTTTTTTGAGGTATTGCCTAAATGTGACTTATCTGTCACAATGGTCTCAAAATTCTTCTTGCCACAAAAATTTCTCCTTTTAATACCAATATTTGCCTAATCAATTCAATTCAACATTTATTTAGGGCTATTATGTTCAAGACCCTGCATTGTGTCTTCTCTCTATTCAATCCATCCTCTTTTCAGCTTTCAAAATGATTTTCCTAAAACACAGATCTGACCATGCCTCCTGTTGTTGCTATATTGTGCATCATAACCTCAGAAGAATCAAAATTATAAGTAATCCAAATGTGAATGGAAAGAACACAGTTTTTACTAACACATGCAACATATTACTAGCAATGATTTTTTTTTAAGAAATGGTAGGGAAGACAACTAGGACTGTTATAATTTGGAAAAGAAGTATCCTGGTCATATCACACACACCCAGAAAAAGAGACAACAGATAGACAGCCCAAGTGTTCGCTGAGATATTAAAAGAATCTGAGGAAAGTCTTCAAAATGGTGAATTACTAACAAGAGATTTCTAGAAAAGCATGAACCAGGCTCACACAAGATGGAAGGCATGGAAAATTTGTCATCTCTGTGGGTAAAGGGATGAAGTGGTGGATCTATCAAGGGAAGTTAAATTGCTTGTCACAAACCAAGCTGAAAGTATTGAGGTCATGTCTTAGGAGTACAGTTTTTAAATCTTGATTAGGGTGTAGAAATAACCTTTGTTCTGATTCAAATTAAAAGGCTCTGAGTCTCTCTCCTCAACCTGATACCCTCTCCTTTCCCCAGATCCCCAGCAAATATCCATATACCTGACATCCAACAGAGTTGGCACCAAGAGATAAGATATGCCGTTGGAATGAGGGTGTGGGCAGGGCAAAGGACTTGGAAGGAGAGAGTCTTAGCAAAGAGAATAGAGGAGCAAAGGGTGAATTGGCCCTCATGTCTTCACCAAAACAAGATTTGGGATCAGTTTAAAGAGGGCAAATGCTGCTTCCTTTCCTGGCATTTTCCTTCCTTCCCTTCCCTTCAGCTCTCCTAGCTACTCTTTCTTACTTGTCATCTTCAGATCTCCCATATCTAGGTCTCTTAAATTTATATAAACCAAATGCCATTCTACTCTGAATTTAACAGATTACTGGGTTCAATGGAGGGTACTTTGAATAAGTGTGTATAATTTTGCTTAATTATTTATTATAAATTTGCTTAATAATTTTGCTTCAACAAGCTTGTTTGGGAACTTTTAAGTCCATCTAAACTCAAGTCCCACCAAGCTAGAAGAACAGACAAGGAACATACATAATAAAAAGTAGGACATCTAATTGGGGCCCCAAAAATTAGTAAATAATAGCTTTAAAGTAAAACCAGCATTGGTGGTATGGTGGTGAGCATAGCTGCCTTCAAAGCAGTTGACTCGGGTTCTATTCTGGGTCAATGCAATCAAAGTTTGGGGCACTAGATGGCGCAGTGAATAGACTGCCAGGCCTGGAGTCGAAAGACTCCTCTTCCTGAGTTCAAATGTGACCTCAGACACTTACTAGCTGTGTGACTCTGGACAAGTCACTTAGCCCTGTTTGCTTCAGTTTCCTCATCTGTAAAATGAGCTGGAGAAGGAAATGGCAAACCACTCCAGGATCTTGCCAAGAAAACTCCAAAAATGGGATAATGAAGAGTCAGACATGTCTGAAACCATTGAACAACAAAACCAATCAGTCAACAAGCATTTATGAAGCTCTTTCTATGCTCCAGGAGGGGAACCTAGGTGGCGCTGTGGATAGAAACACTCATCTTCCTGAGTTCAAATTTGACCTCAGACATTTACTAACTGTGAGATCCTGGGCAAGTCACTTGACCCCATTTGCCTCAGTTTCCTCATCTGTAAAATGAGCTGGAGAAGGAAGTGGCAAACCACTCCAGAATCTCTTTCAAGAAAATCCCAAATGGGGTTACAGAGAATTGAACATGATTAAAAACTTACTTAACTTCCTAATGTTCCAGGAACCATACTAAGAGCTGGGAATTGAGTAATTAGTAAAAGATTAGGGTCTCATTCCCAAGAAATAGAGAGGAAAGCAGTCTTTTCTAGGACATGTGCTCTGGGGTGGGGAAGGCACAGCATCATCTTCGGTACAACCAAACCAAACTTTCATGCACCATAGATATCTCTTAGTATGTTTCTTTCAGTTTGCCTTTAGAAGCCTGAATTGCTGCTGTCCTCCTGATGTTTTCATGGCTTCTTGACATGACCGTGTTCCTACATGGCTCCCCTTTATTCTTTGAGTTTGTGTCTCCTGAAGAAATCATCCTGGGCTGTAGGCAGACAGTATCACAGGAACTGAAGTCCTAGAATCTTCAATTAGGCCCATCCTTGAGTCAAGTCTTGTGGGAAATGTAGTCCTTTCCCTTAGATCTACCTATGGATGACTTACACTTGTGAACTTGCTAGGAGAAAAGGTGGAGGGAAAAGGGAAGAAGAAAGGAATTTGCTGTCTGTGCATGTGTCTATCCACGTAGGCAGCAATAACATGCACACATACATACATACACATTCACATACATTATATATATACATACATGTATATGTTTTTATATGTATGTATGTACACTTCCTAGTGTCTTCCCTCCCACCTCAATCTCTGTGACTACTCTTTGGTTAAAGTTTGGCAAAGGGAAAGGAGGAAACCCAAGTGAGTTTAGCATGCTATGGATATTAATGTGACATAAAAAAATCGTGACATATGAATTGTTCAGATGCTTAGATTGCTCTAAAACACTGAGAATTGAAAGGAGATAGAGTATTCTGTGTCTAGTACTTGTTGGTGAGGAGGAAAGAAGAATTGACAAGAAGGTCGGAGGGATGTCTTTTTTGACTTACTGTCTGTCTGATAGTCACTTTGTTTCTGCGGATTGGTTTTTTTAAATCTGTAAGATGAGAGGGTTGGGCCAGATGATCTCTAAAACCCTTTCTATCTCTTAAGCCTATAATCCTATGAAAACTACACTCTTTTTATTGACTGGCTGCTTTAGAAGTTGTTTGGTTCTGAATGAAATGGTTAGTTCCCTAACCCAGACAGATGGGACTCAACTCTTCTTCAGGATCTCTGAAACGGAGAATTTACATATTTCCACTCTCACATTTCACAACTCACATACTGTATTTCTCATTGTTTGAAAATTTTTACATCGGACCTCAGTCCTTGTGGTTTTAGTCCAAAGCCTTTCCTCATATCCTCTGCGTGACAGTTATTTGGTCATTTTACCCCTACCCCTCCAGTAATACAACAGATAGCTGGGGGAGGGTAAAATTACCCAGTAGTCATCATTACTTCCTGCACCTTTTCAGAGAATGGAACAAGAGGAAGTAAGTTGCTGAAACTACAGCAGGAAGGCTTATGATCAGATGAAAGAAAGCCCTCTCTCACACAGAATAACCTCTGGGACGAAGGGACAGCTGCACTGTGAAGCTCTCCAAATGAAGGAGACTCCCCTTCATTCTGATGATCTTATTACCTTGATGCAAAGGTATACACAAGGTGGCATTTGGTGGTATGTCTCACCCAGAATCTTCTTTGGGATACTTTCCATCTTTCTGTCCTTGTAATAGTAATAATATTTAGATAGGGCTTTAAGGTTAGCAAAGTACTTTGCAAATATCATCTCTTCTTATCCTCATAACAACCCTGAAAGGTAGGTGCTCTTATTATCCCCATTTTACAGATGAGGAAACTGAAGCCAAAGCAAATTAAGTGCCTCACCCAGGATTTCACAGCTTATATGGTATGTGTTGGAGGTTATATTTGAACTAGATTTGAAGACCTGTTGAACTCAGATCTTTCTGACTGTAAGTCCAGCACTGTGCCATCTAACTGCTTGTGGTATGGTCAGCCAATTCCACCTTCCCTTTTGTCTGTTGGGTCTCAGTCTCAACTCTTCTTCTTGGCCCCCCCTCCCCCCCAGCAATTGGAGTTAAGTGACTTGCCCAGGGTCACACAGCTAGTGAGTATCATGTGTCTAAGGTCAGATTTGAACTCAGGTACTCCTGACTTCAGGGCCAGTGCTCTATCCACTTCGACACCTAGCTGCCCCCTGTCTCAACTCTTCTTAACAAACATGTACTTAACAAACAGCTCCTGCTCAAAGTCTATACCTCTTTCATTTCCTCTGTGGAGCTAATTAATGTGGAAGAATGGGGGGGGGCTGCCAAATGGTGGCATTAATAACTTTTATATAATATAATGAGGTTTCTAATGTACCTTCATTACAACAATTCTGTCACTATTTTATTTTATTTTATAGCTGAGGAAACTGAAGTTCAAAGAGGTTATACAAATTACCTACAACCACACAGCTAGGAATTGTCAGACAGAGACTTGAACCCAGGTCTTTTTTTTTTAGGCGATTGGGGTTAAGTGACTTGCCCAGGGTCACACAGCTAGTAAGTGTCAAGTGTCTGGTCTGAGGCTGGATTTGAACTCAGGTCCTCCTGACTTCAGGGCTGGTGTTTTATCCACTATGTCACCTAGCTGCCCCAGAACCCAGGTCTTCTGAAAGCAATTCCAGTGCTCTTTCTGTTATGCTATGTTGCTTCCTAGTTTTGCACCCCTTAGCTAAACCCCCAAATGTCTAGATCTAAAATTGTGACTGAGAATCTACAAGAGCATATGCATCAGCATTAAGGGAGAGTGATGGGGCAGATGAGCATTCCCCTCCAAACCAAGGAAAGTAGATTGGGGATTGTCTACTGAGGGAACGTGGAATGGCTTTAAGATGAATCTTGGTTAGTTTTGGTTTGGAAGCCTCAGTCCACCTAAGTTGTGAACAGGAATGGATCCAAATCCTGAGATTGCCTTCAAATCAACAAATCCCTTAGACCTCAACATAATGGGCTGGAGAGGGGAAAGGTTTTGGGTTTTCCCAGCCTTGTCCTTGGCCGACCTGTTGGAAATTTAAAATGAGTGGGTTGAACCAGGTCACCTCTAATACTAGAGCTAGAGTTTTATGCTGCTGTGATGCTATGGGGATGAGTCAAAATGGAGACCAGAAAGGAAGGATGGAAAACACTTCAATTGAGGAAGGGAAAGGCAGATGAAATTTAGTTCTCCAGGTAACTGACACTTGCCATACCCCAATGAAAAATCAAAACCAAATATTGTTGTGAGGAAACAACACTCCCTACACTTGACTCACCTCCTTAATACTTCCCAGGCACCAACCCTAGATGTGTTCAGACATGATCCTAAGAGCTGAACCTCTACCTCCCCTCCCCTTTCCCTATTTCTCATTTCCCATCACATCTGGCCCCACCCTCCCTGACCTTTCTTCCCCCCTTACTTGCTTCTTTGGGGCAAAAGGGACTATTTCTTGCTTCGATGAAGGAAATAGCATTAAGCACCACCCCTCAGAAGAGTTCTCCCATCCTCCTCCTGCCCCCTCCCCCTCCTCCACCCCTGCTGCCCCAACACTTCCTTCCCCACTGACTGACAAGACAGTAGCATCCAAACCCTGGACCAGCCAGGGCTCCAACTTCTGGCAAAGAAGGTAAGTGTCCAAGACGATGGGTGGGGATGAAGGAAACAAGGTCTAAGCAGTGAGAGAGAGGACTTACAGTGAGAAGTATTTGGATTCACTCAGTACCCCAAATCTTCTCGTTCTGGTAGCATCTCAGATATCCGAGGGAAGAATTAGGGGAGAGGGATGTAGGAGAAAAGGGGAAATAGGGTGAGAGACAATCAGAAAGCTGGGGGTGTTGGGGCCAGAGAGGGTAGCATGATGGGAGAACTGGACAGTCAGCTCTAAGGCTACACTAAGTCATCCCCACAGGAGAGAGGTGTGAGAAGACAGTAGAATGGGTGAACTGTTTACAAGATAGGGCTGGGGAAGATGAAACTCCATTTTATTCTGAGACAGCCTCTTTCTGAAGGGAAGAAGGATTATAGAGGTGTGGAAATGCAACCACTGCAAATTTAGCAATTTGGCTCTGTGGGCAGGAAGCCCTATGGCCCAGTTAGGAAATTGGTCCATCTCTCTTGTAAGGTAGCTAAAGGGTGGAGTGGGGATGGGTGTAGCAGGGTAGGACGACCCTCTGAAAAGCAGGGTTGGAAAATGCTGATACTAGAACACGAAAGGATTTCAGAGATGCTACCTCACGGTGTAGGGAAAGCCTGTCAGGTACTGAGCACTTGGCTAATGGTCCTTATGGGGTGGGTGCACCCCACACAAACGTGAAGGCTGTCAGGAAGTTCTCCCTTTGTCCTATGCCTAGTCCTTCCTATCTTTCCTGAACTCATCATCCAGGTCTTCCCAATGGCTACCAACACCACAGCCCAGCCTGCACCAATTCCATCCAGCCTCCTGTTCATCCGGTCCCTGTCTATCATACTGCTCTCACTGGCCCTGGCGTTGGGACTCCCTGGAAATAGCTTCGTGGTGTGGAGTATCCTGGCCCAAATGCGACATCGCTCTGTCACTGCCCTTTTGGTCCTGAACCTGGCAGTGGCTGATCTGGCTGTGCTGCTTACAGCGCCTTTCTTCCTCCACACCTTGGCCGGTGGTACCTGGTCCTTTGGTTTGGCTGGATGCCGCCTCTGCCACTACATCTGTGGAGTCAGCATGTATGCCAGCATCCTCCTCATCACAGCGATGAGCCTTGATCGCTCCCTGGCTGTAGCCCGCCCTTTCCTCTCTCAGAAATTTCGAACCAAGTCAGCCGCCTGGCGAGTCTTGGTGGGCATCTGGGTGGTTTCTGCCTTCTTGGCAGTGCCTGTTATAGTGTACCGGCAGGTGCATACAGTGGCACAAGGCAGAGTGAGATGTGAAACGTGGTACTCTACCCTTGGCCACGCAGCCTTCCATTTGCTATTTGAGTCCATCACAGGCTTCGTGCTGCCCTTTGTGGTAATCGTGGGCAGCTACTCAGACATTGGGCGGCGGCTGCGGGCCACAAGATTCCGCCGGAGTCGCCGCACTGGACGCCTGGTGGTGTTGATCATTTTGACCTTTACTGCCTTCTGGCTGCCCTACCATGTTGTGAACCTGGGACAGGCTGCCAGGGCCTTGAATGGGTATAAAATAGGGGAGGGATCAGCAGGGCAGAAGCTGACCTTGGCTCGAAACATTCTTATTGCCCTAGCCTTCCTGAGTAGCAGCCTGAACCCTATACTGTATGCCTGTGCTGGTGGTGGACTACTCCGCTCAGCTGGTGTTGGTTTTGTAGCCAAGCTGCTGGAGGGCACTGGCTCAGACATTTCCAGCACCCGGAGGGGCACCCAGGTTCAAACACCTCGCAGCAACCCCAATAATCCTCTGGAGCTTGGCCCAGCAGAGGAATTCACTCTCTCCACCAATCCCACTGACTGAACTACTGAGTGAGACCTGGGTTGGGGGGTGGGGGTAGTGGGGGAGTGGGTTGGGGATGGGCTTGTGCTGGGGTTAGCTCCTCTGTTCCTAGGGATGACTGAAGCAAAATGCTGTCTCATTCCAGCTCAGTCATTTTCCCTAGGGAACGTGGAGTCAGAGGAAGCTCTCAGTTTGGACTGACAGTCAGTTTATATAGGAGATGAATTGACATAGGGGTGGGACAGCAGGAGAAGAGATGGAAAAAGGTGAATGAGAGAAGGAACCACATCCTGATCTGTCTCCTCATGCAGTTTTTAAAATTAAAAACTAAAGCCTGAAAACACATCTGTTCATGAGGGATGCTCCCTGGAGTGCTGACTAGGACAACCCAGATTTTTTCTCAGCAAACCTTGTTGCCGTGGACTGCTGAGGCCATGGGTAGAGAGGTAAGAAGATAGACCAGATAGCTCTGTAGTTATGATGGGGACATCTGATGACTAAATGATTGGGTTGAGGCTGACTCACTTTTTCTGGCAACAGAATGAGGGAAACTAGGCAAACTAATTAAGGCAGACATAACACATAAGCTCACATGTACACATATACATACACAGACACATATGCATGCTTATACTTACATACATGTACCATTGCCTCAAGCTCAAGACCCATGTATAGCAGCCTGCCAATTCCAAATCACTCATAAGAAAATCAAGAAAGATGTTCTTATTATATATATATATACACACACACACACACACACACACACACATATATATGTATATGGAGACACATATATATGTATATGTAGACACATACATATATTTTACCCCTCACAGCTGGCCCTCTCTGGAAGCCCCACACAGCTGGAACAAAGAGTGCACATTTATGACCTTTATCTAGAATGGTACCCATGGTGACTATCAGTGATTGTCAGATTTCCTGCTGATAATCACTTCAGTCCTACACAGGAGGTAATTAGAGTGATGAAATATCTAACAAGTCAGCTTTCAAAGCTCCCTTACATATCTACTTTGAGGTTCTTAAATCTGTTCTTAAATCACTCTGTTGATTCTTTAGGGATGAGCAGTGGCCTCAGAGGCCCCTCAATCAAACCCTATGCTTGTAGATTCAGAAAGGAAGATCTGATGGTGTGCCTTTCTCAAAATCTTCATCTGGAGCACCAGTGGGTCTGAGAGCAAAATTTCTCTTTGGCATTTCCCCTTGAAAATAGAAGGGAAACATCTGCCATTGGTCCCAAATGTCTGGAGTCACTAGGGAAGACAGAACCACAAAGAGACTTCCTGGTTATCCTGAACCAAGAAAAGCAATGTATATGCCTCAGAATAGAAGCCTTCTCCTTCCTAAGATGGTGAATGAGGCAAGTTGGAATGAGTAAGGGAAGGATACTTTGGCTCTCTCCTTTTCAGGAACTGAGAACTTCCCCCCTCCCAACCCTCAACTCTATCTTCTATCTTTGGGAAGGAACCACCATTTGTTCAGAGGCAGAATGATGAATGTGGTAATGTCAGAAAGCAGCAATCAGCACCAATTAGTCTAGATGAAGCAGTGTTGTTTTATTGAGTATTTTCAAGGTCAAAGGATTGAGGGGGGAGGGAGTATTTTAGCTAAGCATCGGCCCAGTCCGTGTTAATTCTGTGGATAGGAAGTAGGTACGGAGCTGTCCTTTGCCTTTGACCTTGATTACTCCTCGGCTATAGCAGGTGTAGCCCAAAGACTGCAGGACACAGGCTGTCTCCTCAGTTACCTGGAAATGGTGAGAGAGATGGTGGTGGGCTGGGGGTGGGTTCCCGCTTTCTGTGTTCTGGCCTGTGCGTGTTGTCTACTCATCACATTTCTCCTGCCCCCCTCACCTGGATCTTGCCCAGAACGCCTGTGCTCTCCATTCTGCTAGCCACATTCACAGTGTTGCCCCAGATGTCATACTGTGGTTTCTGTGCTCCAATTACTCCAGCCACGACTGGCCCATGATTCAACCCTGAAATAGGAGGGAGAAATTCTAGCCCCAGGGGAAATTCAGTTGAATACTGGGTAACGGATGTGGAGAAAAGGTATGATTTACAAACCAAACCCTAGTTAGGCTCATTCTCTAGCAGAAAAGGTCGCTAAGCTATGAACCAAAGAAACATGTTATTTAATTAACCAATCAAACATTGGGAAAGGGATTATAATTGCCAAAAGGACTACATATAGACTCCTCAGGACTTTGGAGGGTAGATGTACTTCTCCCATCCCACTCGTGATGATAAGGTGTCATCATCCCACTGGTAAAGCCGTGGTCACTCCACCATAGTTATAACTCTGAGTTTGAGGAAAGGGTGAGGAATTGGAGTTGGTCTTCAAAGATCTTGGTCTGGTGTCCCTCCCCTACCTCCAGTACAACTGATGCAGGGTGAGCTGGTAAGGAAAGAATGTCCTAAGGAAGCCCTAAGGAGATCTGAGGGAGATGGGAGGGAGGATGTGGTGAAAGGGACCCTCTGGGTAGGCTAGAGGAAGGAATCTGGCACCCTCACCCACACGAAGACGGAAGTCGTTGAACGAGTGCTTGTTGATGATGTCCAGCTTGGCCCCCAGGGCCACTGCAAACTCCACCATAGTGCCTAGGTGACTGCAACTTCGTTCAGAGTCCTAGCAACAAGTGCCACCCACCAGAATGAACCAGCAAAGGAACAGAGACAGGTTATACCTATGGGGTACTAGTGAGGGTCTGGGGGGAGGTATTTTCTCTAGGATTCACCATTGAGGGGAAATGACATAAAACATATCAATGAAGGAAGGGGGAGGATCACTTCCCATGGATACACCCTTAAGGGAAAAGACATAGGCTTCACCCTTGGGATATGACTAAACAGGCCTCCCAGAGCTGGGAGAACATGCTGGGTGTGGGGAAGGGAAAGGATGAAATACCTGCTGGGTATCCTGTCCAGAGGTGGCATTTAACCCTGTAGCTGCCATATATGTGCTGCCAATAGTTTTGATCTTTTCCACACCACTGAACTTGGGTTTAGAAAGTAGCTGTGGGGGAAGGTAGTAGTGTTGCCTAGGAGCCAGATCTCTCTCCCTGTTCTTGTCCCCATTTCTACAGCTGAAGCCCCAGCTTTTGGGAAGGGAGACTGGGATAGAACAGATATGCAATGGGAAGGGAGTAAAAAGCTAGGATAGATGATGAGTATTAGACAAACAGGGTGCTTGTGAGAGAGGAAAGCAGAAGACCCAAATGTCGAATCCTAGAGGGGAAAAGATAGCTCTGCTGGCTGTTGGGAAGAATACAGTAGGTATATAAAGATTAGGAAGATTCAGAAAGGTTGGTGGGAAATGCTGGGGAACGGCACTTGAGGCTCAAAGGTGGGAAGTTTGTTCACCTCATCAAAGTCTGCAATGATCTCATTGAGCAGCCGAAGACACTCCAGCCCCTCACGGTTGATGTTGGACTCAGAGTAAAACTCCTTGAAGTCAGGGACAGAAGCAAAGAGAACACAGACACACTCATAGGATTGGTGGTAGAGGTCCTGGGTGGATAGGAGAGTCAGAAAAGTGAGGCACATGCCTACCTCAAGTTCCTTGTCTATATGGAATGGTTTCCTCCCCCTGCTTATATACTCCAAGGAATTCTCCTAACCCATCAACTTTTTGATAGACTGGGAGAGGGGGACAGGTCAATTTGGTGAAGTAGTTTGGGGAAGCTAAAGATTAGGGTACACTTCACTGTGATTCTGAGGGTTAAAGATCAAGAGCAAGGGCAAGGTCAGCTCATAGCAGGAAAAAAGAGATGCTCTAGAGTGGTGATTCTGTGGGGTCAAGGTCACCTCATTTCGCCGGTTCTGACCAATAAACTGGGGGGCAACATGTGCAGGTAGCACATTTTCCAGCAGCAGTCGAGTCAGATTCTCCATCGTCTCTGTCTCTTCCTGTTCTTGCCGAAGCTTCTTTTTCCACAGGAAGTCCAGTCGGCAATAATACTCATTCTGAGAGGAGTTCACCACCATAGAGGGTGGGGGAAGGGAGGCATCAATTCAGAGAAACCAGGGGCCAAGGTAGGGTTGACCTTCCATGTAGGTAAACAGTGGAAGCAGCCTCATCTGTGATTGTCAGGGGGGCATTGGGAAGACCATCCCACCTCACACAGACACCCAAAAATATATCTCTCCTTTCTCCATGATGCTTAAAATTTCATTTCACAATTAAAGGGAGGGCTTGGGGTATATGTACTTCCCAAAAAAGGTAAGAAGGGGCTTAAATGTACATTGAGTTGTGACTGATATCATATCCTTTCCTTTTTGGTCTGGGAAAGAGAGGAAAGGGGTTAAGGACACTGGATTCCTGAAGATAGTGAGGAGAGAGGAAATCAGCAATAAGGAAGGGGTGAAGAAAGGTGAATCTGAAATCACCCAGAAGACAAACTCTACCTTCTTTGAAATTTTGCCCCTGGGACCAACCCTAGGGAAGGAATATGGATATAGAAGATTGGCCAGGGATATGATTGAGGGAAATTTAGGGGTGTGGCCAAGGACAAGGTACATATCAAGTCACAGATATGGGAGACCCAACCTCACCCATTTCTAGGTAGACCCAGAGCACTGTGTGCATTCCCTCTCCCACCCTCCTCCCTCTATGGAGTTGGGGAGTGCAGGGGGACTTGAAGCTGGTAGACTGACCTGTCGAGCCAGAGCCAGAAGGGTAAAGAAGAAGACGAAGAAGGAAATGGCACCCATCAGCTTGGGCTCCTTTAGTACCCCAGGCCTGGGGAGGCCACAGGTTAGAGCTTCTCATCACACCCCTTCCCTGAGCTTCCCCCATTTTTCAAGCTTCTTGCCACCCTTTTTTTTCCTTTTTTCCCACTTGCCAGAGTCAGTGCCAGGGACAGATCCAGCCAGCCCAGGTTTGCCCTTCCCCCCACCCACCAGAATGATGTTGGCTATCTCCTGGGATCAGTCTTCAGGGCTGGGTACCTTTGAGCACTGGGAGTTGGGTAGAGATGGGCAACAAGGCAGTCAGAGAGCCAGGCATGGGAATGCAAGAAGAGGCTGCAGGAGGTCAACAACCAGAGCAGCAGCAGCAGCAGCTTCAGTTCGAAGTTCATATGCAGAAAGAGGGAGCAGGAGAGGAAGCCCAGCACACAGCAATGTATGGAGTACTGGAGACATAGAGGCAGGTGGACATGGTGGTGTCAGTGAAAGGGGATCAGGTCAGAGGCAGGGTCCAAAGGGAGAGATCACCTCATCTGTAAAAGGGCATGGCACCAGATGATCTCTAAAGTCTCTTCTCTTGACCCTCTGACCCTTATGCCAAGGTGAGTGAGGTGTGTGTATGTGTGTATACCTTCGGTGCCTTTCTAGTTCTATTCCTTTCTGGCTCCTA